TGCAGACTCATAACTAGTCTAAGTGTCAACCATAGGTGACAGTAGAGTACTTGGTCCTACCTGGGATTCTACACCATCCCCTCCAAAGCAAAGGGAGCCCTGTAGAATCGGGAATGCAAAGAATGCAAGAGCCAGAGGATAAAGTGGTATCATATCACAAAAGGTATCACATCATGGACATGATGTAACTGTTACTCTCATGAACTCAGTGCAGTTGTAAGGTTACCTGCACAAGACCTCTCAACATTTCATCATGAATGGAAGAGACACATGAGGCTCCACCTCTCCCTGAGGGACCATCAGCAATTAATGGTTGTTGGGGGAGAGAGTGTCATTTCCTCAGTGGTGTGCCTACTGAAAAGTAGCCCATGCTACAGGAAATAACCTCCCAGCCACACTCATGCAAGCAACCCTAATTAAACTCAGTGGGTCATACAAACAAACACACACACACATACACACACACACACACACACACACACACACACACACAAAGGAGGGTAGAGAATGGGAACAGAAATGATTGAAACATATTATATATTTGTGTGAACCTATATATTTTCGTGTGAACTTGTCAGAGAATACATAAATTAAATTTCTAAGGATGAAATTTTAAAATACCAGGCATGGTGGTGCATGCTTACAATCCCAGTGCTGGGAAGATGGCGACAGGTAGACCTCTAGGGCAGAGAGCCCTGGCCAGCTGATCTGGCCTAATTAGTGAGATTCTGTCCCAAAATCAAGGTTGACAGTACCTGAGGCCAACACCCGAGATCATCTTCTGAAGACCATAAATTTTATAAGATTGTGAAGTAATCAATTTCCAAAAACTTAAAGACTGAAAATTAACAAAGTACACTGAGCTGGTGGCTGGAAACCACAAAAGTTATATTACAGATTTATACCGGCAAACACAACGAACATAGAAACATAAAAATCACATCATGATGCCATCATCAGTGTTATCAAGAATGTGCAAAATCCCATAGCACAGTTTCTAAAGAAATTACCAAGAAAAAAGATGAGATGGAACAGGAACCAATAGACTTAAAATATTTTGAGCTAGGATGCGGCTCAGTGGTACAGTGTATGCACAAGACCCAGGGCTCAATACCTAGCATCTAAAAAGCTTTATAAGACATATAAACCAACTAGAATATTTGGGACTTATATGGCTCTGGCTTTGATCAATCCCTTTTTTAAAACTGGACACAATCACAAGTAGGAAAATTCAAAAAATGAATAATATTTAAATGATTTATGGCTATGATAATAGTATTGGGAAGAAAATATTAAACTAATGCCCGAGTCCCACAGATAGAACTACATGGCCCTGGCAGCTTTTTGCATGTGTGTTGTGGGGTTGAGACTTAAACCAGAGTACTACTCAACTACATTTTCTTAAAACTGTCCTAAGTGGGGGCTGGAGAGATGGCTCAGCTGTTAAAAACACTGACTGCTCTTGCAGAGGACCCGAGTTCGATTCCCAGGACCCACATGGCAGCTACAATCCGTAGTAACTCCTGTTCCAGGGGAATCTGAAGCCCTCTTCTGACCTCTGTGGCACTGCATGACACGGGTGCGCACTCACATGCATGCAGGCAATACACTCATACACATAAAATAAAAATAATAAATAAAAAATCTGTCCTAAGTGATTGTAATAAGCAGCCAGGTGTTATAGGCCATGGAAATGGGGAAAGTTTTATATCTATATACATATACACATACTCAACTAGTTACGCATCTAATTACATGCCTCCAAAAGCACTTTTCTTGAAGACTGAAAGCTTTCTGTATTATTGGCATTAATAGCTATTCTGACACCTGTGGGTTCTGCGGTACATTTTTTGTTACTTTTTTTGAGAGAGGGTCTCACTATGTGGCCCTGTCTGGCCTGGAACTTGCTATGTAGACCAGGCTGGCCTCTCACCCACAAAGATTCACCTGCCTCTGCCTCCATAGTGCTGGGATTAAAGGCATGCACCTCCACGGCTGGCTGCTGTATTTATTTTTAAAATATTTATTATAAATAAATGTTTACTTAGCTCTCTAATTTACTTAGCTTCCTAAACTAAGCAATCTTTTCCTGGCTTCCTATTGAAAGAACCCAAAAGCAACAATAGCAAAAATATAAACTTATAGCTGGACATGGTGGCACACGCCTTTGATCCCAGCACTCAGGAGGCAGAAGCAGGTGGATCTCTGTGAGTTCAAGGCCAGACTGGTCTACATAGCGAATCCAGGCCAGCTGGGACTACAGGGAGACCCTGTCTCAAAAAGACAAAAAAAAAAAAAAAAAAAAAAAAAAAAAAAAAAGAGTATAAACTTATACAAGCATAGAACAATTAGGGCTAGTTACAATTATAGTCTATAAGCATAATTACCACAAGATTAAAAAGACATCTTCAATGAAGCAACTAGAATGATGGGTTAAAGTCTCTAAACCACAGAAGTGGTTCGTTAGGATGTATGACACAACTTATTCCCAATTTATCCATATTTCTCTTATCTCATGTTTTAAAACTTACACAAAAGCAAAGCAGAAAGAAGGCCAAGGAACAATTAGGCAGAAATGAGTCAATTTCAGTTCTCAAAGAACCTACTTCAAACACAAAGTAGAAAGAGGCCAATCAACGTTTTATATATATCTCAAAGCCCAGGGAAAAAGTTATCACACTGAGTTTTTGTAGTTAGTTACCCATCTAGAAAGATTTTTTAGGCATGGAGTGCTTCTAGACTGTTTTTGAGATCAGGGAAAAGACAGCCATTTGCTTCCAGAAATTTAGGGTTATATTTCAGCTGTTATTTTACAAACCCCACTAAATTTAAGTAGGTACTAGGTCTTTAAGGCTGAGGTACAGAGTGCTTCTTACCGTAGTAAGAAAATACATGACTGCTTAGAGCCAGCCACTTAAGGCAAATATGCTGACCTAAGCTAAGTAGGAACTGGGGTTTTCTATGTATTTCTGGGGAAGGCACAGAGTTGAAGCCTGAGGGAAAGACAAGTGGAAGAGAGTTCTCTGGAAACTCAGAGAATTATTCATTAGACAGGTGGGATCCTGAGTAAGCCGGTTCCATCACTATGACTGAATTATCAGTCAGGCAAGCTACTCACTGTTGAGATTAGATAGATGTTTTATAAGTATTTGCTAACTAGCATAAGATTATTAGAATTAAGTAAGTAAATACTGTGTTCAGACTGAATCTAGTCTGGCTTGTACTTCTGGTTTGTTAAAACTTTTCTGAGGTTTTGTTTTCCAGCTCATTAATCTTGACAGAAATTCTTTGAAACGTCTTGCATGATTGTAGGTCCCGCTTCTCCATTTGCTTAGGAAGATAAATTTACAATGTATTTTTAACTACATTTTAGTTGAATTTGGGCTTTATTTTGAAAAAAAAAACTGTGTATTTAACAGGATTGATACATTTTTCTAGAAAAAGCATGAGTTATTTAAAAATACAGCCTCTCAAACTTAGCTCTACAACCAAAGAATACCATTCAAGGATGTTCTTTTCCTACTCAATATTTCAACTTTTCCTTTCAATGTCTTAAGTTTTATTTTCCCCTTTGAACTTTCAGTAACCTAAATATTTCTTACTTTAAGCCTTTATGAGAAGAAAAAGTATTAGTAGCTAGTGTCCTGCAGGAAAGAATAGCGTCCTATAGGATCATCCCAACATCTCTGAAAGGACACAGCGTATAATAAAATCACACACACACACACACACACACACACACACACACAGTATACAGAATATTTTCTTCTATGAAGAAGTCATTTACTGCTGTAGACTTATAAAAAGTGCTTATAAGACATTCTATGATTTAATATTGCCATGTCTATACACAACTTTAGTTTTCTTAACTATTTTGACATTTCATTTAGTTTACAGCACTTGATTCCGAAAAGGACTGAGTCCTGTATATAGCTTTTAAATATGGCTTGCAAGTCACAACGGGAAAGAAAAGAATTTTAAACACAAACACTAAATATTTAATGTGATACATGGAATAAGCACTGCAAATTAAGAATCTATTTTTATTCCCAGTTTTGCCTAGAACCAACTACACAGCTTCCTGAAAGTTACTTATGTTTTTTTTAAAGCTGTAAATAAAGTTTTTATGCAATAATGCTCATTTTAAATTTAGTTTTCTAAGACTCTATCACAATTAAACTGTTTTCCAACATTCTGTTATAACCCAATTAAACGCAAACCATTTTTCCATATGGCGTTAGACCTTCACTTTTATGTCAATTTGACCTCAAGAAAGGGCCACTTTATAAGTTGCACACTCAAGACGTACTTTGGAAGAAGAGGCACTCGGGAAAGATTTTTTTTTCCCCCCTAAGATGAGCTGATAAGCTGATGCTGCGCAGAGCATGAAGTATTAGGCATATATGTGTGCAGGAGAGCTGGTCATTCTCAAGTGAAGAGCACTGTCGAAGAAATACGCTTCAGTGAGGAAGACAGGCTGCAACAGGACTTGCAGGAGACCTTGAGTGGAGCCTGTCAGACAATCACACCCTCCACCTTTTCAAATCCTTATTCCCCCAGTAGACACCAAACCAGTCTCCAGTTCCGGGTTCCCAACCAATCACATAAAGCCACAACAGAGGGCTTTGCCAACCTGGGCACCGTTTCAGGGATCCAAAAAGAGATTCACACGACCCCAACACCTGTCGGCTTCACATCCTTCTACAACAGTGTAGGGGGAAAAGCAGTAGGTCTACACTCGGTCCCTACGGATCCAGGTGCCTGGCAGGTCCACACGCCCTCGGAAGCGCACCGTATTCCAGGGGCCTCGGCTGTGCCCTCCCACGTCTCGCTCCCCCAAGGCCAACTGTCCTAGTCGCAGGTTTCTCAGGCCTCGAGCACCACGGGCCTAAGAAGCCAGAAGACAGCGCAAGTGCAGACTGCGCGGGAGGGTGCACACCTCCGCAGTGGCGGAGAGTCGCGGACGCTGGGGAAGGGTTTGTCATCCCCCACACACTCACCAGGAGCAGCAGGGAGCATCTGAGGTCGGGTAAAGACGGAAAGACGGCAGGACTCATGGTAACGCTGGAGCCCACAGCAGGGATAGGAGGTGGCGGTTGGGACTGGACCGGGCTAGGAAAGGGCTGGGCTCCGGGAGCGGACGGCAACTGCACCTCGTCCTCTCGACCCGGAGCTCCAGCTGCGAACACCCGGGACAACTTCCAGAGAGGCCTCGCACGCCCTCACTTCCGGGTCCTGCCCACCTGGAGCACGTCGGGAAATGTAGTCCGGCATTTCTGTAGCTTACCGCGTCATCGGAGAGTTCGAACTCCTTTTCCCAGCAGGCCCTGGGCCCGGGCCTGCCGAGCCCTCTGCGCGCGCGGCTCTTTGGGATTCGAAGGGCGGAGGGCCGCGAACCTCCGCGCTCCCAGGGATGGGAACTACAGTTCCCAGAAGGCTGTACGGCCGAGCCCCTCAGGCTGCTTTCAGAGGGCTGGCGGGTTCCAGCGCCTTGGGGTCTGGCCCTGCGGGCATAGTGGCGTGGCCTGGCTTGGCGGGAGGGGCGGCCCCGTGGGGGTCGTGCCTCTGGGTGCCGCCCTGGGACGTCTGTCCTGGAGGCGAGGGTGAGTAGGAAGCGGCCTCAGATCGATCAGCATGCACCTCCCTGGCTGCTGCCGCAGATTCTTGCCTTCCTGGCCTGAGTCTCCATCACTGGCCTCCGCCTGTTGCCTCTTCTTTCTGCCTTCATTCCTCCGTTATAAAATGAGAACCAACACTCGAGGTTTCAAAGAGTCAGTGACTTACCCCCGATTACTTCCGAGGGTCCCGAATAGGGAGGAGATAGGGTTAAGGGATGGGCAAAGCTCCGTGCCAGAGCGATTACTTCTAACGCATGGCCAGTTCCTGCAAGATAATTACGAAATTCCTTAGCTAAGCAGTGCAAGAATCTAACCTAGTAGCTCTAAAACATCTCTGTGAACACCCACCCGGGGCCGCATGCCTGGATAGTTAGCCACGTAATCACTGCTTAGCACCCAGGGGGCATTCCGTGCTTTTGTGGTCTCCCTGCTCCCTGCCCTTGCTTCAGCCTTCCTGCTGACTGAAATGAGTTTATCCCCATTTTCTTTCTGGAGTGCCATCTCAAGTCTCACCATCTCTGACATCTTTCACACTGACCAATCCCTTCTTCCTAACCAGATACTTTTTATTTGTATGTGACCGCTGCACCACTAGTTTTGCATAGTAATAATTATTACAGCATTTATTACAAGGCTTGTTTTATAATTAATGATGATGATATGTTTGCATTTTATGGAACTTTTAACAAAGTGCTTTTGATTTCTATCTATAAAAGATATAGGGGGAAAAAGAGCACTAAAGAAAGTACATGTCTGGTAAAAAAAAAAAAAAAAAAAAAAAAAAAGAATTAAAATAACCTGATCCCATGAACAGTGGAGCCAAGACTCTTAGATCTGCTGCTCCCTAGAGCAGAGCTCTTATTTCTGCACCAATATTTACCTCTCTGACAGAGCCCAGACTTAGTTAAAATGAGAAATTGAAAACAGCAGGATTGGCTGTTGGTACATATAACCCCAGCACTTGAGTGGCTGAGGCAGGAGGATCAGGAGTTCAAGGCTAACCTGGGCTGCATATTGAGTTCACAGCTAGCCTGGTCTACAGAGCAAAAACCCTGTGTCCCTGAGAAAGAGGGAAAGAGAGCCTGAAGTTGAACTTTGATCCAACTCACTCTTTGGACTTAGTATTCAGCTTGTGACCTTTCATTCAATAAACATTTACTTAAGCACCGGCTATATGCCTATTACTGTGCTGACTGCTAAACTTAAAATATATAAACATTATAAATAAAATCTATTTTTAACATTTTCGTGACTATTCAGATAATTTTTTGTGGTTCCGACCTACCTAAAACTGGTCACTTAGAATCCAAAATAACAAGTCATAGAATTCAGAACAGTGCTTAGTACTCAGGTTATTAAATAAAGGAACATAGCTAACTTTTTTTTTTTTTTTTTTTTTTTTTTTTTTTTTTAAAAAAAAAAAAAAAAAAAAAAAAAAAAGAGGACGATAAATCTTTCACTGTGATATATCAAAATAA